GAAACAGCACCTGCAGAGGCATCATATCACTTCCCCAGTTAAACTTCTTTTCAGAGGAACAGCAAGATTGCTGCATGTAAACCTAGCTGTACTCCCACCACCCACACATCCACACTATGCAAGTTGCTATCATACATAACCCACACAGAAATGCAGTGTATTTAAACAATTTGTTCTTTATTATCTCACATGCCTTTTTTGCCCCACAACCATTCTTCCTTTTAATTTCTCCACTGAACATTTGCTATACAGCTGTATCTGCTCTTATAGAAAACCTCTACTCCTTAGTGCTGCACTCATAATGTGCTTACGCAGGCTTTTGTTTGCATCAGAAATGTTTTTCTCTCTTTACAAGTCAACTGGAATTCAAAGCAGTTAAATGCAACTCAATGAAAAAGCTCACCTCCTTTTCAAAAGAAGATCAGCTGCATATCCATTGCACCTGTGATGGAGCTTGTGAAACTCAGAAACATTTCAAACTGATCTCAGGTGCAATAAAAAAGACCCTTAAAGTGCTGTATATGCCTACCTAGAAAATAACACACACATGCACCGTCCCGATTCCCTATCTCTGTGGCCTTGGCAAAAGTGATGCTCTTGAAAGACAGCAGCCTCTGAGATTACATCACACTTCACAAACATGCCATGCCATGCATTAAAGTTTCGTGAGATTTTGTTTTAGACACCAGGGAAACCAGCGAATAAAATGACATGCAGCTAGATCTCTAAACATGCTTGAGATCTAGCATGCATCACTGGGGGGCTGGCTGTGAAAACAAGTAAGTGACAGCTGGCTCCCAAATCAAAGATGAAAGCACATAATCAGAAGTGAATAATACATTGCTGGGACTCCATGGACTTATAAGTATCTAATTTACATTGGCGTATATTAACATAACTGAATTGACTGATTGTATTTTCTTAAATATAGTTAGCAAGTCCTCTTTAAAGGATTATTGCAACAGGGCTTTCTCTTGAAAGCCACAATTAGTGGCCTGTAGAAGCCTAGAGTGTGAATGCATTTAGTTCCTGAACTTGCTTTTCCAGGTCTATAAGTAGAGCACTTTTTATGGCCTTATCATAGATAAAATGTCTCTAAAATGTGCCCTGAGGGCTGGATGCAGTCCTTTGCTTGCCTTATTCAGCTCTTGAGGTACCATTTTCCCCACTGACACCAACAATTGGGTACTATTCCTCCCATTGATATCAACAATGGGTCACTATTCCTCCCACTAACACTAAAGATGTGACACTATTTCTGCTCCTACTGGCCACAGGCCACACCACTAAAGTCTAAAGGAATGTAAACTGGCCCTTTGTTTAGAAAGTTTGGAGACCCGGTCATAGAACGTAGCAAAGCAGCACTCAACCAGGGGAGGACTGACCATTTGAAAACTCGGGCACTGCCCGAGGGCCCGGGGTCAGTAGGGGGCCCCATGAGATGCCCCTTGTAGCAATCGTAACCACAGAGATGGACGTGGTTCAACCATTTTGCTCCAAACCTCCATTTTGTTAAGAATTCTCCATGTTGTCCCATCATCCCCCTTCTTCTCTGTTCATCCACAGTGACATATGGCCTGTTGGAAGTGTCACAGGCAGGCCAAAGCACATCAGGGAGCTCCAAGCTATAAAACCTCGCTGAGCTGGGTGCCAGGCAGTCTAAGAAACTGTGCAATCTGACACCTCATAAAACGATAACCCAAGCCTTCCCCTGAGTCCAAAGACATTCCAGGGGAGTCATAAACTAGATACCACTTTTAAAATCCATTTTCCCCCTATGTCTCATATCCTCGAATATGAGAGACTTATATAAAAACCAGGCATATCTTCAGATTGCTCACGATCAGACAAATCGTTTGATATGTCACACTCCCTGGCTGGAATATATAGGAAAGCAGAAAATTACATCTCTTGAACCATTCAAGTATGTATTTCATATTTCATATCTAACCATTCCTCAGATGCGTCTGCATATTAATCTACCTGCGGGTGGAATGTTACTTGTGCCTAGGAAAAGTTATGAGCCAAAATATGAGCTAGGAGAGATTTTGGTTCTAGCTTGGGTCTCCGCCTAGACACCCCTCCCGAAATGAGGCATTGGTCCTTGGCTTCAGAGACACCCCCTGCTGGGGGACTACAAAATAGGCTGTCAGGCCTAAGAGAGGAAGTTGAAGAAATCTCCCTTTTAACATCAGAACCAACTTGGGAGATGGTGCCCTTTTGCTCTGAAACTTGATCTGCTTTACCCAGGACTTTTGGCAAGTACTCTTCCTCTCTAAACATCTTCTTTCTGTTACCTCTTTGCTGTGTTATTGCTCTCTGTGTATTTATATATATATATATATATATATATATATATATATATATTGGTTACATCTTTTTTCTGTAAATATTTTTATTGCACCCTTTTGACCTTTTAGTAATAAATCTTTTCTTGCTGAAGGTGATGAACTGTTTCTATAGCTCTTTAATGCAACTTACGAACTCATGCCGCTGAAGAACGCTACTGTGTGTGTTTAACCCTCTGTATAACCTGTCTGTGGTGACAATGGTATACTGACGATTATCTAACCATCATAGTGTTATTGCTGATATTGCCAAGTTTCCTCTTTCTCTGTACAAAAAGGAGGTGGTGGCAGTGTGAAGGGTTAATTGCGTAATTAACCTGACCCAGTAACAATCGCGCTCAGGCTGCCGGTACATCGAGTTGTGGTCCAGTGAGCTGGAAAATCGTTGTGCAGGGTGCAGCTGGGCGTGGCATTGTTATGCATGTGACATCGCGGTTTTAGATTGGCTAGTCCTTCGGTCACGAGTTTGGTGAGAAGGGCAGGGGTCTGACGCCGCAATCATCACACCCCTGGTACCTTTTTCATAGGCTTTTTTTAGTTTGGGCAAGGACACAGGGGCCCCATGATCCCCTATTGCCTGGGGGCCCCATGAGTTGTCAGTCCGCCCCTGCACTCAACCATTGAACAGCTGCAAGTACTAAACACTGGTGCCGTTCTTAACAAGCATCTAAGTATTACAATAAACATTTTCAGAGTTTAAATTCAGTGTTTTTCTCTATGTAAGGCTTTCAGGGGGATTCAGGCATTCGTATAGCATAGCTTTGTTTTTTTTTTTACCAATAAAGTCCTTTAGTATCTAGGTTTATAAGTTGTTAACCCATTTGTGTCCTAATAGTATTTGACCCCTCCACATCAATCATCAATCAAAAAGACAAATATCACCAGATGCATTAGGACTAACCAGGGAAAAAGTGTGCTTCCCATTTCCAGATATACCAGTTATTAGCTCAGAATTATAAATCTATGCATAATACAACAGGAAATCATTTTTACACATGAATAATGTAACTTTTAACCTAGACATCTCAAAAGTTCCAGCTTGTGATAGATGTTACAGTCAAGTTATTATGTTCTGAAATTACTCTGTGAGGCCATAATAGAAGGATTTTGCAGACACTAAAATGGGTTTCTTTCAATGTATTATTCCCCCAAATAGATTCCTGTTTCTGTTTTCAGCTGTCAAAGAAAACTTAAAAAAAATTTCTTTATGTCAATTTTAAACAGCCAGATAGAATTCATGGAAGGCTACAGTATGTGTGTTTTTACCTCTCTCCTTACGCTTTTGTTTCATTCATGAATGTTATCAATAAGATGTTAGTAAGATGAAGCAACGTGCTTTTTATCACTTTCTATTTAGGCTGTTCTTTTTCCACATGTAAGAAAATAGTTAGAATTGAAGATATTTTTCAGACTTATGGCAGCCAATGGGAAACAGGATGTCATTTCTGTGGTGCAGAATATTAAAACAAGATTATTATATGTACCTAATGAGTTTTTAGATTTTCATTTCCCTTAGAATTTAAGTGGAATGTTGGTTATTTAAATAAATGTCTAATATGTCTAAATATGTTTACTGTAGGTATGTACTCTTAGCATTTTACATGTTGCAATACATGCTTAGTTACTCAGCTCTGTCAGCCTGATTCTTCATCTATTTCTGTATATACTTACTGCTGTAATTTAAAGGGTTAATCCAATCAAAAGAGAAATTTGAATTTTAAGCAGAGCCTGGCAAGCTGAGTCTGCCCCTGACTATTTACGTATCTTGGATACTACAATATTGAGCAATCCTTACAATAATTCCTAAATATCCAACTATCATTTTGGTTACTGTCCACCTTTCTTCCTGGTCTAACTGTTTTTTATAATATAAAATAAATACAGATTTTAAAGGGAGTGTGTAACTCACTCACGATGGCTCATGTAGAACCAGGAACTGAAGCACAGAAGATCACCAAAGAGATTTAAGAAACTATCAAGTAATTTAATTATCAATCATCTCCCAGCTGTGGGTAGAATACCCCTTTAAATCAGTAGTGGTCAACTTACAGTGTATATATCCTCAACTGTGGCTCCTGATATCCCTAAGGGTCCACATTAGAGACAAAGAACATGCTGCAGGAGACAGTTAGGGACTGGGTAACATGAAATTGCTTGAAACTGGCATTATATCTTCTTTACAAATTATTTCTCCAAATTACTGGTAGTTAGGGCTCTTCTGGAAAAAAAAACTCAAGAAAAAAAAAGGAATATTTAACATTTGCTGGATAGTAAATAGTTACCTGGAATGATGCGTATGCTTACTCCTGGATTGTTGGCTGTCAGGGTTATCAACTATGAGTAAATTTACAGACAGTTTGTAAAAATCAGTGATTTTTACAACTGTCTGTAAATATCATGGGCTGATAAGTTGTCTTGCTGTGTTGACCTTTGTAAGTGTAAACCAGTCAAATTACTTGTTATGGGTATTGCCAGTGTTTCCATATTGTGTATATACTGTTTAAATATTGATGTCTTAGTTTTTAATGTCATTTTTTTAGGTTGTCAGTAAAAACTGTGCTCCATCAGTAAATCTTCCATGTTTTGTCAGTAAAAAAATGCTGCAGGAGGTTGTCAAATGTTCTGGCTGTACCAGGGGCGGACTGACAACTCATGGGGCCCCCGGGCAATAGGGGATCATGGGGCCCTGTGTCCTTGCCCAAACTCAAAAAAGCCTATGAAAAAGGTGCCAGAGGCATCTCATGGGGTCCCCTACTGACCCCGAGCCCTCGGGCAGTGCCCGAGTTTCCAAATGGTCAGTCCGCCCCTGGGCTGTACTTTACAATTTACACTTTTATTCATAGCTTTTGTAATGTTTCCAGTGCTCCAAAATGTGACATTGGACACGCTTTTTTAAACCACTTTGAATGCCAATCAAAGCACATGTCACTTAATGAAATGGTAAGCTTGCAGTCCTGTTTACCCATTGCGTTTGCTTTGCTTCACTTAAAAAAATTATACCCCATGTCACTTTATTGGTGCTTCAAAGCATCTTCAAAGCCTCCATAGAAGTTTATGACAAAGCTCACTAACAGCACTTGCAGCTTTTGAGAGGCTTTTATTCAGCTTTAGCTTTGCTTTGTTTTGGTGATATTGCAGGTATGAAATATCCCAGGATCCACTAGGAAACCAACAAGCAAGACTCATTAGCAATCACTTCTGGTTCATGTGTAGATATTCTGGAAGTGACTGGTGTAGATGTCACATCTGGTGTTCAGTAAGGAGTGGCAGGAATGTGAGCAGGGTTTGGGACCGGTGCAGAGCAACTAGAAAATGGCACACATGGTGTAACATAGGAACGCTATAGCAGAAGGTGAACAGGGACCTGAGAGAGAGGACTGAGTGACAGAGGATTAGCAGAGCTGGGGGAGTGGAGCAAGAAAAAATTAACAATGTCACACATGGTGCGCAGCGTGGGGGCAATATAGCAGGAGGTGAGTGGGGACCAGAGAGAGAGGAGGATCAGCAAACCAGAAGATCAGCAGAGCTGGGGGTTACTATTGAGTGGGGGATCAGCAAAGCTGGGAGTTACTATCGAGTGAGGGATCAGCAGAGCTGGGGGTTACTACTGAGTGGGAATCAGCAGAGCTGGAAGTTACTACTAGGAAGAGGATCATCAAAGCTGGGAGTACTACTGAGCAGGGGATCTGCTGAACAAGGGCTCTAATCAGCTGGGGATCTGCTGAACGAGGGTACCAATGAGCTGGGGATCTGCTGAACTGGGTTACTAATGAGCTGGGAATCTGCTGAGTGGGAGTGCTACTGAGCTGGGGTTTTACTGGGACATCTTAAAACAAAATGAAAATCAACACACACACAGGGCATTTGCAAGCTTCATTAAAGCTTCAAAAAAGCATCACCAAAGCATCACCGGTGCATCACCAAAACATCATACAAGCATCAAAAACACATAAAAAAAGCATGTTGAAGTGATAGGCACTTTAATATGTGTTAAAGCTGAAGAAGTGTAAATGAACCCTAAGAGTGACACAGTTTCCTGGTTGCAGCACTAAAAGTAAAGCAAAAGCCATACTTCTCTGTGTGAAAAAAGGGCAATTTGTAAAGAACAGCCAGCAATCCAGGAGGTAGCATACACCTCTTGTTACAGTTGACTTATTTATTACCCAGCAGATTTTAACTAAACATTTTCCTTGGAGTTTTTCTTTAAGCACCAAACAATTGTTTTCACTAAGCTTTCTTCCTATTTTTATATGATGATCCTTTTATTTAGTTGTCATCAAAATATAGTCTTAATAATAAATAAATGTAAATCAGTAAAAAAAAAAGTAATGTGTTTGGTTGCTGTGCATTACTTCACGTTGCATATTGCTATTTCTTTTATTACATTTTTAAACCTAATAGTTTTTAGTGCATCTAAGTGTGATTATAATTTACATTGGTCCCAGTCTGGCCCCATTTTAAACAACAGACACCCAGGCTTAGGGGTAAATGGCTTCTACTTTAATGACAACGTATTGAATGAAACAGGACTCTAGCAGAATTTCTCTGGATATTGTCTAACAATTAAACTTACGCAGAGGTCAAAGTCTCTTTTCATCACTTACTGGAAACAGAGAACCCCAAGGAATTTGGTTCACATCTATACACAGATACATTGTTTTAATTAGTAAAACAATACTGATGTGTATTTTTTGTGAATGTAATACATTTGTATTACAAGTGCTGTGGGCAAGGAAGTAACCAATACCCAAGATATTTTACAGTCTGGAGAGGTTCTAAAAAAAAGTCAAACTGGCAAGCATACAACACATTCTAAAAGGTATTTGTCTTCTTATTAATGTTTACAAAGAAAAGCCTAAGGCTCTAGAGATATAAACCATCAGCAGGACTCCAGCGCTTAAAGCGAGTCAGAGCTGTTGGGATGTATGTGGTCATGTTTACAACTGTGAGTCAATAATAATGAATGTGTATGTTAAGTCAATAATAATAGGTGTTTGTGTATGTGTATTTCAGTAACATGAAATATACTTCTGATTTTATATACTTTTTTATATACTGTACATATATAACCCAAGAAGATATCGCAGGTCCTTAACAATAATGTTGCCATACATTAGGGTCATTCCTCAAGTGAGATATCTGATGATGATCTGACATAAAATGCCAACTGTCTAAGCAGTGGTGTATCCCCACTTGCAGACAACTATGTAACCTTACCAATTTGCACATGCAATTTCAGTGACCCAGGTTTTTAATCAGATTTGCTTTCCAGCATGCTGGTTGATTTATTTTACTGATTCTCCAGCTTTACATCACAGAGGTACCTTCATTTTTTTTAATTTACTAGCTATGCATTTAAAGGTTATTGTCAAGGGTACCTGAGTCTATAGATGCCCATAGCATACATGTGAGGGCCTTATGCTTGAGCTGCTCAGATAAACAAGTCTGTCAGGGAAGATCATCGCGGCACACGAATCTGCGCATGCGCAGGATCCCGACAAGGCATAGCGCCGGGCGGGCACTAGGACCCAGGCACGCCTGTCAGTGCCGGGCGCGCTATTTAAACAAGCCACTGCAGGATCCAAATTGCCGTATGGTCTTTATCCCCTGCTTGTGTTCCTGATCCTGTGTGTTTCTTGTTGCCGACCCAGCCTGCTCCTGATTACTGCTGACCATCTCCTGCCCTGACCCCTGGCTTTCCTTTGGACTATTCTTCTGCCTGCTCCTGATCATTTGATCTCCTGTTGCTGAACTTGGCCTGTGACCAGACTATCTTTTGCCTGCCGCTCTGATCTGCTCAGTTACCAGCCCGGCCAGTCTGACTTCGCTACTTGCTTCACGATGCATCCGCATCCATCCATCCCGCACAGATCCATCCGCATTCCGCTCTGGTCTGCCCTGCCTCTTCACGTCAGGCTCTTTACTAAGCTACGTTACACTAGCGGTCCTCTCTACGACAGCTGGGCGTACCCAGGGGCCGCGACCTGGTCTCAGCCTGCTCCAAGTCCATCCCCACCATCAGGGGCTCTGGTGAACAAGCAGACTGTGGCTTAGACTCTGCGCCCTGGGGAGTCCCAGACTGTGAACCTATAGAGCTACCGTTAGGGAGTTTGTGACAAAGTCTGTGCAGAAATTGACACTTCCTGAACTGAAAATCTGATGTGCCTCCTGCAGCACTCAGTGGTTCCTCCTACAGACTCCTGCATACCTACAAGACACAGTACTGACATACAAGTCAGTGGAAAGAAAGTACTGAGCACAGCAGGAGACCGGAAATCTGACACTCCCAGAAGAGTGGGTTTCTGCATAGACTTCAGCTTTCTGCACAGACTTGATCAAAGCAGCACAGGCAGCAAGAAAGATAAGTTTGTGTAGTTTCTTTACAGATAAAGCTTTAATTGGAAAAAATTACATTTAGTAACAGTCACGTTATTTGCTGTAAGAGAACTATATAAGTTGTCATCAATGTTTATCTGACTAGCTAAAGTTTTAAGACTGTCCACTTGGCCATTGCTCTCAGACGATGCTGCAAGGTAACTCTGATTGGCACACATATACTTTATAAATGGATATATATAATAAAAACACATAGAAAATATATACTATATACATATACTAATAATGGAATCTTCTATTACTCCTACCAGTCCATCCCCCACAATTATTACCTTTTGTACCACTAGCCCCTCCTTCTTATTGTAAGCTCCAAGGAGCAGGGCCCTCCTAACCCTCTTGTATTGAACTGTATTGTTGCTGTATTGTCTCCTGTTATACTGTAAAGCACTGAGCAAACTGTTGGCGCTATATAAAATCCTGTATAATAATAATTATAAATATATATATATATATATATATAATTTTTTTATTGTTTTTATAAACACACACAAAATCACAAATATATACTGTGTATGTGTATATATATATATATATATATATATATATATATATATATATATATACACGCAGTATATATGCAGTATTCTTTTTTCATAATGTTGTTTTAGAGCATATTCACACCTGCCTATAATAAGCCTTTATGCAGAAATGTGAAACTATATATGATTTGAATTGCCATACAAAATGAATGGCAACACATAAATACAGTGCTCCTCCACCTGGGTGCTGCTTGACATCCTGAAAACCCGTTGTTAACCCTGAATGTTACTTATTCCCAGAATGCAATGTAAAATGGTTATACCCAGGCTTAACCAATTTAAATTGCATTCTGGGTAATGACTACGGTTAGGGCCAGGGAGCTTAAAAATAAAAAAAATAATGAATCCTCTATTCTGTTAGTTTGTATTAGTTATAGCGTAAAAGGAAGACAACTAGAAGAATTCAAGTTGGAACATGTATAATTTCAAAAACAAAAAGAAACACAACGTGACGTATGCTCACTTAGCTCAGTAAATAGGAGTCAACTTTGTTCACTTTGAATACCCAGTCATGTGCAATGTATCTCTTGCATATGAACGAAGTGAACACAGCTTCATCTCATTCACTATGCTAAGTGCACATTCATTTTGCAAAGTGAACACACTTTAGTTAATCAACACAGTTCATATACTGTGTGAGCGACAATGATTTAGTGGCCCCTAGAGCTGTGCAACAGGGTTGATTTAATAAAATAGTGAATGTTCACTTTGCTTTAAAGGGTTAATTTTCCAAGGGAGTTGAGACAGTTCACTTGGAAAGTGATGCTGTTATATTCCAAACATCCAATTAAGTGCAAGAAAGATATTTTTTTTTTAGCCCCCCCAAATATAAAAGGTATTAAACTAAACATAGTTTCACTCTATTAACTAAGCTAACTGAACATTCACATTGGTAAATGAATATTCTCTATCCTTTAATAAATCAACTCCAGTGTGT